ACACCCCCCAGCTCCCCTCTGTTGTGTGCCCTCTGCATGCTCAGGGAGGAGACACATCCAGGCAGTACACTATAAATATAAGTTTTATTGATGTGTGAAATCCAACAAGTACAGCTGGCAAACACTGACAGAAACCACAACATCTCCTCCTGCTCAAACAGCTCCTGGGACCCTCTGGACACTGGTGAGCACCAGCAGCAAGCTGGGACCTGGCACCCCATCCCTGTGGGGTACTTACCTGCTTGTGCAGCCCAACCTGGAAAGCTCAGGGGCTCATCTCCACCCTGCCTGGTTCCTGCCAGGCTGCAGCTGTGGGCAGCAGTGCCCTGGTCCTGCTTCACAGCCTCTTCCCAGTGAGGCAAAAGGATTTGGCCAAATTCCACCCAGAGCAGCTACCACAAGAAGAGCTGTAGCTGTGCCTGCAGACTCCCTCGGCCTCTGAGCTGTTACCTGCATCTCATTTTGGCAAACTGTCCCAGGGAAAAAGCAGCTCACACCTCTGCTCATGTGGAAATGTGGGTTTCAACAGCTGCACCTCTCTGCATGGTTTTTCCACCCTCCATCCCACACATGCACCCCTCACTGAACAACCTCCTCTGCACGAGTTGACACAGGGAAGGCTGGAAAAGCAAAGGGTCCAGTGTGGCAGGGACACACACAGAGATCCCAGGCAGCCCCAGGCTGCTCATGGCATAGGGACAGGACAAATGGTGTCCACACAGTGAGAAGGAAACACTGTTTTATTGCCTGATTTGGGAGAGGGGTGAAACCCTGGGAGAAGCCCCATCCTCTCCCTGTTCTAGCCCAGTCTCCCCTCCAGCAAACCCCAGTCGGGTGGTGATGCATTTGCTCTTGTTGTGCGTGTGACAAAGGTGGCCTGGACATGCATGGAGGTGAGCAGCCATACCCTGCCTGCACTCACAGCACGAGTGAGGGCTGGGCAGCACCTGGTACAGCTGTGCCTGTGGGCTGAAGGGGCCAGGGGAAGGGCTGAAGCCGATCTAGGTGGACTGAGGCTCAATCAGTGTTCCCAGGGAGCTGGAGCCCCAGTTGAACCACATCCTCGTCCGTTCAAAGTGCACTGCAAGGGAAGGCAGGGGCAGGAGGGGAGAGGAGGTGTGGGGAAGAAGCCTGCTCTCCTCCAGCACACTCCTCCTGATTATCCAGACGCGTTCCCTCGTGGGCTCCCTGCAGCACCCACAGCTCCACCTCCCTGCTCTGATAAAGTGCATCCCTGCTGCTCCACTGAGGGCCTGCAGAGCAGGGAGGCTGCACCCCATCCCTCTGCCATGCCAGGGCAGAGAGAACCCCTCTGACCCTGCTCCTGCAGGGCAGGAACCACCTGGGCAGCAGAGGGGCAATAAATCTGGGGGCTCAGCCCAGCCACGCCAGCCTGGGGGCTCAGTGCAAACATGCTCCATCCCTCTGCACTTCCCTAGGCTTTCCACCAGCTCTGGGATTGTCCTTGCAGAGAGAGAAGGGGCAATGTGTCCCCCATTCTGGCACCTCACTTCACTCCTCAGGCACCACTTTTGCCTGGGGCAGGGGCTGCCAGGCCCTGTGCCACAGGGTGCTCACATCCCTCACTCATCACAGCCCCTTTGTACCAACACATTCATTTGCCTCCTGCTGCCCTGGGGACGAGGGGTGCCTGCCCCATATCCATCACTCCCCAGTGCCCTTGTCCAAACAGGGGACACAGCCATCCTCCAGCTCCAGGGCATTTCCTGGCCCTCTGCCCCGCAGTGGCCTCATACCTGGTCAGCTGGGACACTGCAACCTGTGCACTCACCAACACAGGTGAGTGCTGAACTCTCCTGGAGATCCTGGGGCTCCTGCCAGCTGTGGACAGGCTGGTCCAGGCAGCCACCTGTGGAGCTACTTGCCCCAGAAGTCTTCCTCCAAGCTCAGGCACCCATCCCACAGGGTTTCTCTGCAAGCAGCAGGAGGTGGTCAACAAAGCCTTCTGCTGAGCATCCCTGTGCATGGGGAGCAAGGGCAGTGGCAGTCACGGGTGTCTGCTGGTAGCCCCTTTGCTCCATCACTAGTCCATCTTGTCCTGGTCCTTCTGGGAGCAGTGGTGGTGCTGGTTGTGATGGCACACGGGTGCCCAGGTGGTGCAGGTGGAAAGCAAGACCCATCCCAAGAGCCCCAAATGCCAGGGAGCAGGGATGAGCTGTGCAAAGCTTCCCCTCCACTGCAGAGCATGGCACAGGGCTGGTAGAGAAGGAAGATCCAGGACTGGAGGGGAATTTTGTGAGGGATAGTGGAAGTCAGACAACAGCCCCTGAGGAAAACCCCAATACTCAGCATGGAAAGGGCATCAGGGTATGTCTTGCTTCTCCTCTGTGCAGGAGAGTCCCATGGCTACGTGTTCCTCACAGCAGTGCTCTCCAGGCAGGGGAAACTCAGCTTTGCTGAGTGCCCAGCATCAGTGTCAGGCCAGCCAGACTGTGCTGTGCAGAGCAGTCCCAACACAAGCCAGGAAAATCACAGATCAGTCTCCAGGATTTTGCTGAAATTGGCCTTTGCTCTACAATCCCTGACTGCTCCAAGGGCCAGCAGCAGCATCTCCCAGGCTGCAGCTGAACCAGGGCCAGGCCAGGGCAGAGCTGCCTCCCCCATGTCCATGCTCATAAAAAGCAGTGGGTTTCCCATGTGCAGGTGACCAGTGCAGCCCAGTGCCACCAGTGCCAGCACACCCCCAGAGCCTGTGCTATGTAGCTAAGAGGTGTGCTGTGTTCCCAGTACAGCAGCATGTGCAGATGCCTCATCATCTCTGGGCTCAGCTCAGTTCCCAAAGGAAAGAGCCACCAAAGTGCCAAACTGCCTTCCAGGTGACTCTAGAGGAGCCACCAGAGACACTTGCCAAAAGAGACATTTTCCTGATCCCAGTCACAAAGTGCAAAGGCCTTCCCAGTGTCCAGATCACCCACTGTGAGCAAACCACTCTGAGGTCTCACCTGCTGCCAGTCCTGGCACTGCTGGGCCCCCTTTCTGCACAGTGTCAGCCTGGGAGGTTGGCACTGTGGCAAGTCTGGGTGTCCCTGGCACTGCCATCCCCCAGTGCTGAGCCAGGCTCGTCCGCCCTGTCCTGCTGAGACAGCCAGTTGTGCCCAGGGAAGAGGTTGCAAGGAAGGGCTCCAGCTCTTCTCCTGCAGTAGAGGCTCCAGTGATGACCTGGCTGAGCCCAGCACTGCTCTTCAGCCACCTGGCACTGGCAGGGTGTGGAAACCTGAATCCTCCTGCTCCATGCAAGCACTTGAGGGGATCCGTCACTTCTCTCCACGTTGGTTGATTTTATCCTCTTGGCTCAGACCCCAGAGACAACA